CCCGCGGCGCGCCGAAACAATCCGATGCCGGGGGCCCCCTGCGCGCTTCCCGGTCGCGGGGCCACTCGGACAGGCGGGCCGCGTCAGGGGCGCCGGCCGACGAACGGCCGCCAGGCGCGCCCCCGAGAGATGGCCGTTCCCCCGGGCACGGCAGAGCAACCGCGCCGCGTGCCGCGGGCGCAGCCCCGACCCGCCCCGAGCGGGCCCCGCACCCCCAAGGGCCCCGATTCCAGGGCTGCCGGAGCCCCAGACAGTGCGACCCATACTCCTCGGCGCGAGACACTGCAAGGCCCTGAAATCAAAACGGTGGGAGGAGGAAGAGGAGGAGGAGGAGGAGGAGGAGGAGAAGGAGGAGGAGGGGAAGGAAAAGAAGGGGGGAACAGTTTCTTGTTGTTGCAAGGATCGCTCGCACTGCCAGAAGCTTTTAGTGGGCAAAGTCAAAATCCGCAAGCGTCTGGCGGGTAACGCGCGTCACCCGCGCGCGTTCGGCGACCGCAAAGGGTTTGCTTGAAGCTTCTCGCAAAGAGGATTTTTTCATCTTCGGAAAGATGTGTAAACAAAAAACGCATGTTCGCTCCCAAATCAAATCGGACACCGCTCAAGGACCACAGAACCTTCCAGGCCAGCATGGCAAATTTCCCACCGTGGACATTACGGAACTCGCCACGCGCGCGCGCGCGGCGGGTGACCCGCCCACCGCGCGGGTCACCCGAAATCCTGTCGGCAACCGCTGAGAACGCACCTGCGTTCCCACGCCAGCATGGCAACTTAGCCATTTTGGACTACAGTGAACTCCTCAAACGCGCGCGCGGGAAGTTCTGACACCAGAACCCATGTCAACTGCAACATTAAATCCGTCACCGCTGAGGGTTCACTTTCGTCGCCAGGCCAACATGGCAACTTTCCGATTGTGGAGATTAGTGAACTCGATGCGCGCGCGCACGCGCGGCGGGTGACCCGCCCGCCGCGCGGGTCACCCGAAATCTTGTCGGTCACCGCTGAGGGGTTCACTGAAGTTTCCAGAACGGCATGGCAACTTTCCCACCGTAGGCATGACAGAACCTGCCACGCGCTCGCGCACGCGCGGCGGGTGACCCGCCCACTGCGCGGGTCACCCGAAATCCTGCCCGTCACCGGTGCTGGGGGCCACTTGGGTTCCCAAGCCAGCATGGCGATTTTCCGGCGGTGGACATCGCAGAGCTGTTCATGCGCACGTGCGTAAGGGATTTCTGTAAGGACCTCGCGTTCACTTCAATATCCAGACAAACGTGGCTCCTTTCCCGTGGTGGTCAATGCAGAACTCGCCACGCGCTCGCGCACGCGGTCGGCCACCTCTGAGGGCCACTCTAGTTAACGTACCAGCATGGCGGCAATCCGAGTGTGGATGCTGCAGAACTCCGCGCGCGCGGGAAGCTCTGTCCTGCCCATCGTTGGAGCGCGCGCTCGTGCCAATGTCAGCTCACTAATCCAATCGGTCAGCGCTCAACCAACCCATTGGCGACCGCCATGCCAAACATGCCAGACGGTCGCCATTAAAGAAAAAACGAAAATCATTGACAGAAAAACAAGTATGAAATAACAAAACCATTAAAGAAAAAAGAGACCATGGACCATGAAGCGCAAGACGCAAGACGCCGCATAACAAAAACATAACGAACACCATGAACAATTCGTGACTCGCCTGGCTTCGGGTCTTCTGGATTCGCGACGGATTTGCAATCGACGAGCGGACGTCGACGGAAAACGGGCTCGGCAAACGCGCCCGCCGCTCCCCTTCCAGGAGCGGCGCGCTGGAATGATAGCAGCTCGTTGCTCGTCGACCGCTCGCTTGCAGCCCGACAGCAGGCCAGTCGCACGTTTGGGCAAACCTTCGCTTACGTGGCACCGAATCCATTGAATACGAATGCGTTCCCCCCCCCCGACCGCGGAAACGGTGGCGGGCGCGCCCGGCGCGACGCCTGGCCAACTGAAGTAACAGTTTTGGCTGCAGCAACCTGATCAGAAACTAGACGCGAAAGCATGCCCAACGTGTCGTGGCCGACTGGTCAGCGCCACCAATCACTCCTCACGTCGCGGGGCGCGGGAGGGGCCCCGGCGCGCGCGAGGCCCAAAACGCCGCGACCGCAATCCCCTGGGTCCAACTGCTGCGCGTCAGGCCCACCTGCAACTCGCAATCCAACTCATTGTCGCACTCGCGGAATGGCTCGCCATGGTCTGCCCCGACGCATTGGTTGGGTAGCTGAGCGGAAGGGGGCCCTTTGAAAATGAGCGACCTCGCACGTGCCGGCGCTGGAGATGGCCCCTCAGCTTCTGGCCGCGGGGACTGGGGCTGCTCGGCTGCCCGATCAGGCGCGAGATTCAACGTCCTCGACCTCTTGCTCCAAGTGAACTTCTCAGCCGACGGGGGCGCCCATCTCCGAGCGCGGTCGACTTGTATATTCTAAAACATATGCAATCCGAAATGCGACTTGCCACCCCCAAAGCATGCGACGTCATCAAAGGTGCAAGACTCCGCAAATCTGGCCATGGAGGCAGACAGAACCGCGCAATCAATCAACCGCTTTCTGCCCGAGGTGCACGCGCAGTCGCCGCCGCCCGCCGCCCGCGTCCACCCGCCCGCATTCTTGGGCCAGCCAACGTTTTGCGGCTGCGGCGGCTCCGCGTTGGAGTCGCCGATCACATGCAGTGAAGCGCGCAGACTTTGCAGCGGCTGACCAACAATTATCGTCTTCTCTATGGTGGTGCTTTTGAAGCGGGCGTCCGCAGGGAGATCGCCCCCCCCCCCCCGCGATCGTGACAGCCTGGCCCCCGATCTTGAACTGGAACGCGACGGAGCCTCTGAAATGTAACTCTATCAACTTGGCGGCCCATGGCCCATCCAACATTCGCAGCCCCAACTGCTGGCTGGGCGCATTCGCAATATGCCGATACGACTGGAACATCTAACGCTTCTCGACGCCAACTGCGATATCCGCAGACATCTGCACTCCACCCGCTGCGAAAGATGGGGCCACCGCTGACCCGCAACCGGGTCCACCAAATTCGCGCAGAACTCCGCGGCACTCCTCGGGAAAGAGGCGAAATTCAGGATATGTCAAATTGTCATGCTCGCTGCACTTCAGAAAGCCCTTCGCTGGAAATCCCCACCCAGCCGCTTGGCCGCGCAATCAGGAGCACGACGCGTCCTCCTGCCCCCCCGCTGACCTCCTTGAAAGAGCCCGGCAGCTGCTCCACCTCCCGCTCGAGGCGCGCAGCTTAATGGTCCAGATATCCTGGCTCCATTCCCGCAGCAGCTGCAGGCTGCGGTGCGAAGTGCTGGCCAGCCCTAAGACTCGTGCGGATTCCTAATCGTCCGTCAAGATTCCTGAAATATTCCTGTCAAGAGATCAAGGTCCTGAAGATTGTGGGGGGTCCTGGGGGGCTCGGAACCGATTCGCAAGCATTCCTCAAGATTCCTCGAGGATGCGCTATGGATTCCAATGAATTCTTAAGAGGTTCTTGGGGATCCTTGAAAGTGTCTGAACGTCCTGCTATTATTCCTGAAGGGTTCGTCTCGGTTTCCTCCCCGTTTTCCCCCGACCCCTGGGCGATTCGTGAGGTTCCCGAATCATTCCTCAAGACTCTTCGAGGTTTCTTTAGGGATTATTGGGGGTTCGTCCAGATTCCTTACCATTTTTGACAGTTCCTGGATATTCCAAAACCGACTGTAGGTTTCCTGCCAACTTCTGAAGGATCTATGGCAATGCTTCAACATTTTTCATAAACCCAGCAACAAATTCCGAACGAATTCCTGCAGTTCCATCGGGACCTATGGGGGTGTCCCAAAAAACTCATGAAACACCCAAGATGGTTGTTCAAAGCTCTGTGGAAATTGTTAAGTCCTTATCGGGTTCGCGAAGGTCTCCGGAGGATTCCTGCAAGTGTTTTGCCGGTTCCTGGAGGATTCGTGGGGGATCCTTAAGCTTCCTCGAGATTCATCTCGGACTCCTACGGCTTCACTGTGAGTCCTGAAGTCTCCAAGCTGCTTCCTGAAGATTATTGAAAATGTATGCAAGATGATTGAGAATGTCCGCGAATGTTGGAAAGATGGTTGAAGATCCCCGCAAGCTTCCTGGAAGATTCGTGCGGATTCCTGAGGAAATCGCTGCTCCCACCGCGCCACCCTCAGGGATCACTTAATTCAGCGAGGTGCAACTGTATCGGTCGGCGCACCCCACCCTCTGGCATTATTGTGTTACTCCTAGTGCTGCGGTGTCGATAATCGTAGGTCGAGCATGTCCTCCTACAAAAGAGCTGTCAAGCGAAACGTGGCAAATATTCCCCATCTTCAAAAATGTTGGAAAACTGCTGGAACAATTCTCCCGATGCTATGTTTGTGCTAATGTTGGGAATATTCCTCCTGTGGGAGAACGTGCCCGGCTTAACGATAGTCGAAGGGCAAAGTCGAGGCCGACCAGATCACAGCGTAAGACCACCTCCGGAGCCAGGGACGCAAGCTGGGCCGCAAACCCGAGCGAAAGCGGAGCCCGACGACAGGCGGCGACAAGCCCCATCGCTGCGTGCCCGAGCGCCCGCCGCGGCGCTTCCTGAAATCTCCGTGCTCCCCCCTCCCCTCGTCCTCTCGCTCGCTTCCTCCACCACCTCCTCCTCCCGCTCTGGCTGGCAGAACAAGCAGACCGTGTGAAGTCAGTAGGCTCCGAACCAAATCACGATAGTGGACACGCTGGAAAAGCACCCGGCTCTGACCAAACGAGATGGCAAAAACAAAACTGAAATGCCATACAACCATGAATATATGCTTGAGTACGGTTGCTTCGCCACACTCGTTCGCCTATGCATCCCTTCACTGCTGACAAAGAGACGCCCCATCAACCAACTGAGCGCTGGGGACTACGATGCTCGAGAACAAAGACCAACACCCGATCAATGTTCCATGACTGTTGCCGTACTCTGCTCATCATAGCCGTGCGCGCACATTCTTCCATCACTCCGCAATTCACCGACTCGAGGTCCCAACGTAAATGTATATGCCGTAAGACGGCCTCGTCTAGTAACGCCGCCACCAGCCATCCTGCGGGTGAGCGGACATGTGATTACATACAGCGTGATGTCCTCCGCATATGCGCCACAACTCAACCACACACCGCGTCATGCCATCCCAAACTAATTTCTAACCCATACTGCTTTCTGCGAGTTGGATTCATGCTGCGATGTCGCCAGATGAATGATCATGGTCCATGATGGGATGCGCCGAGGATAATCCTGCGGTGACGACCACACCAAAATGAGACGTATGACAAGCCCACGACAACAAGCAAGATCCTGGCATGGGCGGCACGACTCCGCACGGACGGCACGGCGGTGCCCCCAAGAAGGGTTCAAGACTACCCCCCAACACGTTCAAGACCGCCCGATGACGATCCTAATGTGGACCAGGGGGAAAGCCCCAAGATCCAGCCTGCAACATCTAACATGGCAGATTCAGAAGTGTAGACGTGTCCCTCGTCAGAGCCCCATGATTATCACGAGCATCCCAACGAAGAGCCGCCAAGGGGTGTAGCACGGACCCGTTCGCGCTCAGATCGCCAGGACCGCTCAAGCAGAATGGCAAATTTGGGGTGGTAGACGTGTCTCCCTTGACCCATGATCACAGCGATGTAGCAGGAGTGGCGCTTTAGGCTCCCAGTGGGGGGGCGACCAATGGTGCAGTACAGGTCCATTCGCGCTCAGACTGTCTGGACCTATCAAGCAGAATACTATGCTTGATTTGTTTGGGAGACGTGCCTTTTCAGGACCTCATGGTCACTACGATATAGCTGGCATTGCACTTAAGCATCCCGAAGGAGGGGGGGCATCATAGTATCTCGAGCGAGAAGCTTGTGTTTCTTTCGGGGGCAAGAATGTCCCATTATGGAAGGAACCCGTGATCACCGCGATGCAGCAAGTATGTCACTCGTTTGGACCATCCAAGGGGCAACGACAAACGATGCATCACGGGACGAAGCCCACGCATGGCCGCATGGCCCAATCAGTCAGGACCCACTTGTGCTCAGAAACTCATGCGCACGGAACGCGCGCAAGAAATAATATGCGCATATCGGGATCTCCGCGTCGAACAACGCATTGAATACCGATGATCGTCATGCCTGCCAGTGTGATCCCACACTGCACTATTCCGGACGTGCGACCGTGCCCTGGCCCCTTGGCGACAATGCCCTGCGACTGTGATGGCCCCCCTGCGACCGCGTCCCGCAAGCACGGCAGCGTCCCTTCGACCGTCCCCTGCGACCGTCCCCTGCGAATGCGATGGCGTCCCTGCGACTGTGCCGTGCGACCGTGCCCCTGCGAGCACCGTTTAACCGATCTTTATTCCTACTAGCGTGGGCTGGGTCCTACGGGCCGATTACCCCCCCCTGGATGGGGATATAGGCTGCTCTCTTTGGGTTTTGAAGGGCATATCCCCAACTGAGGTGGTGGGACGGTGGGGCTCGAGAAGTGGATGGGGATGGGGACAGGGATCGGCGAAACGATACTGACCCTGGCCCCCAGCGACCGTGCCCGGCCCCGCCAGCGACCGTGCCCAGCAAGCGACTCTCCGACCGCGCCATGTCCCGCCAACGACCGTGCCAGGTCCTGTCAGCCAGCGACCGTGCCCCGCCAGCCACTCTCCGACCGTGCCCCGCCCTGACCATCCGCAGACCCCGTCAGAGCGTGCCCCACCGTGCGACCGTGCCCTGCCCCCGCGCTCCCCTCGGCGGCCCCGTCCGTCCGCGCCCCAGCCCTCCAGCGCCCCTCCCCCCGCCAGAGGCCCCCGGCTCCCCCTTGGCCGACCGAGCGACCCCCCTCACGGTGCCCCAGCCCTCCAGCGTCCCGCGCGACGTCCTCCCCGCATGGGCCCCGTGGCTCCCGCCAGCTCCCGCCAGCTCCCGCCGCGCGGCCGTGCTCCTCCCGCGCCTCTGGGCGACCCCGCCCTGCTGTGCCCTGGCCCGGCCTCCCCGCGCCACGTCCCCGCGCCCCCTTCTGTGCAGCTCTCGTGACCGCTGGCGGCGCTGGCTGTGGGCCGTGGCCTCCCGGCCCCCCCCTGCGGAGACCGCCCCCACCACGCTTGTGAGTCCGACCGTGGGCCAGGCACCCTCCCGCTCCCGAGCCCCCCAGCTGGCGTGTCGTGGTGGTGGCCTGGAACGTGCCTCGGGGGGCGTCCTCGAGGTGCGGGTGCGGTCCTGGGCATCAGGCTTCCGACCTGAGGCCTGCTCTTTCTGCAAGGCGGCCTTCGCTTTTCCAGGGGTTCAGCGGGAACGCTTGCCGAGCTCAGCCGGGCGATCCCACGATGAAGCATGTCGGGTGGCTGGCCTGTCCTGTCCCCGGATATGCCGTCGACTGCGCAAGCCCGCGTGGCTCCGTCGGGACAAGGGTCCTCGTGATGCCTGGTTGGCTTGCACCCGTAATTGTACGGTCGTTGGCACCGTGTTTTCAGATGTCGCTGCAAAAATCAAGATTGGAGTGCTCAAAAGCCCAATGGACTGGCAATCATGTCAGCATGCGCGCGCTGGAGGCGAGATCGCGCGTGGCCCGAACGGTGGTACGTGACGCGGCAAGGATGAAAGGATACGTCGTTCCAGTCTGATGGGGACGGTGTGATTGAATGCCTACAACAAATGCTCGCACGTTAGATGTCGGCAAACATCATAGCGTTGCGAATACATATATATATATGTATATATACATATATATATACATATGTACGAATATCTATATATAGACATGCATAGAACATATTATTGTATACACACGAGGACGGACGTGCACGGTTGGGTACCGGTGAGCCACCCCTCGGTATTCGAGTAGGGAATCGACTACATAATGGATGTACTCCAAATTTGGTTGTTCTGTCGAGTCTACGAGAATACGTATGCTGCTCCGTACATCCACGGAAGATTCTACATATTTCCGCAGACTCGACGGAAGAACTAAGTTTGTGGTACATCAATTCTGCAGTCGATCCCCTCCTCGAGGCATGGGGGTAGAGTCGAATTCATCCCCGCCAAGGAACGGAAGCCTGCGGGGTGCAGCCAGAAGCGGTAGCCACCAGGCGACCCGGGGCAGCCACGGGCGGTCGAAAGAGACGGCCGCGGGCGCCAAACCGGCCTAAGAACTGGAAGACCGTGCAATCGCACAGGGCGGCCGCGCAGCGGCCGCGTGCGTCCACCGACCGAAAAAATCCGACGGCAAGTTCTCGTCATGTCGACCCCGGCTCGCGCTGTATCCTGACACCGCAGGGATCGTTCAGACTTGAACGATCGACCGTTTCAGAAACGCTGGATCGTTCGCCGAGGGGCCGATTCTGGGCCACGGGCGGCGTTCAGCCTTACACGCCCGCGCTGGGGTCGCCGCCGGACGGCACGACGCGAGCCTACCGTACCCAAATTGCCAGAACCCCGTCTACCAGGCGTTCACAGATCAAACCAAATACCGAGCACCCAGATGGGAACAAGTGACTGTGACCACTGCATTGCGGGGAGCGGGCAATAATGGCAGTCTAGCTTGAACAAGAGGGCGAGATCGGGGTGAGTCCAAATCGACAGGGAAGCGGGGAGAGGAGAGGCAGAGGAAGGAGAGGGCAAGTGGCCGCGACCTCGGGCCTGCCTCCTTCAACTGCATCGCAGCTTGGGCCAGGGACGGTGTCTCCATTCCGACTGCCCCTACGCCACGGGTCAATCAGATGATGGGCCTGTTCTCCACCAACACCACCATGAGTTGGAGGGGGGAAGGAGGTGGAGCCTGAGGAGGAGGAGGAAGAAGAGGACCCCGTCCCCCTCCTACTTGTGGTGGTGGCGGTGGAAAACAGACCCACCATCAGAGGTCGGGGCGGCGATGGTGCAAAGACAAGCCTCTGGGGAGGATACCAGAATCGTGAGGCGGGCGGGCGCGGCGAGCGAAGGCCGGGCCTCGGTCCGCCCGCGAGCGTTGATCGCAGAAGGGGGGGGGGGGCTTCGGCTGCTGCAGGGGTCGACCAACACAGCGTTTTTTGTTTGCGTTTTGTGTTCGTTTTCCCCGGTTCTGCATTCGTGCCTCCTTTTAATTCCCCGTTTGTCTCCCCGCTTGGCTGCACAACGGAAGCAAGACGAACACGGCCCACGGAATCGTCGAGGCACCGTTCAGGTCGAGCCCCGGGCTGCTGAGGCAGGAGTGTGCTCAGGAGCAGAGCGGGAGCAGCGAGTCCGAGAGAGCACGCCTCCGACATCCGAGGCCCCCAAGTTAGATGAGGTTGGAGTCGACAGGGGCTGGAGGATCGCGCCGCGTCGCTGTTGCATAATTAGGCGATGCCTCGGCGATGCATCAGCGACGCATCGGCGAGGTATCGGCGACGTCGGCGCTGCATCGGCGTTGAGAACATCGGGCTCCGCATCGAGCCGCATCGGCGATGCATCGGCGACTCGGCGCGATCCTCCGACCCCATCTCTGCTCCGCCTCCGGTCAGGAGGCCCAGAGACGTGGGGCTCTGCCATCGGCGTGCTCGGTCGCTCGCGCCTGACGAGGGGCTTGTCTTACACCACCACCACCCCAAGATGGAGGGGGGAAGGAGGCGGAGGACGAAGAGGAGGAGGAGGAGGAAGAGGAGGAGGAGGAGGAGGATCCCCTCCCCCTCCAACTTATATGGTGGTAGTGGTGGAGAACATCTACCCACCACCTGGCGCCCCCCCCCCGCCCGGACCCGAGCGGTGCGGCGGCGGCCGAGGGGCGCGGGCCACCGTCCTGGGGCGCGGGCTTCTCGCTCCACCCGCCCTGGGCCGCGCCGCTCCTGGGGAGGCCGAGGGGGCGCCCTTCGGGTCGGGCGAAGGGGGGGGATAGCAAAGAGGGGGCTTGAGACTCAGCTCACGTGGCTGATTTTCCCGGCGCCTCCCGGCGACGGGAGGCGCGCACGTATCGAGGAATGGGCCCGGCGGCGAGGCCGAAACCAGCTGCATGCAGCAGATGTCGTAACCCCCCCTTTCCCTATCCCCCCCCTTCGCTCGGGTCGCTCCTGGGGAGGCCGAAGGGCACCCTGTCGCCGCCGCGCCCCGGACGGCGCCCGGCGGCGGCGACGAGGGCCTCCCAGGAGGCCCGCAAGGGGGACAGAACGGGCAAGGTGACCCGCCTCGAACTCTTACCCCTATCCCCAAGATGGACTCGCCACAAGGCGATGGCAATCTCAGGGATGCGCCCTCAAAACATAGGGGAACCCCTGAGATTGGCATCGTGAGGAGGAGCTGCCCAGCATAGGGATCGGGATATGTTCCAGGCTGGTAACGAGGGGTCGAGGCATAGGGGTGCCTTTGCCTCCTCTGAGCTCCAGCCCTCTGGCTCGCCCGGGGCCTCCTCGCCCGCGCCCCAGGCGCCCTTCTCGCGCCAGCCGTTCCGGGCCTCCGGTCGCGGGGGCGGGCCCCGCGGCTCGAGGGGGCCCTCGGCCGAGGGGCTCGAGGGGGGAGGCCTCTGCACCGTCGTGGTGGGCCCGAGCGGCATCGGCACGGGCGTCGACGATCCGTGCCAGCGCCCGAGTCATCGCCATTCGGCATCACGGGCACCAGCACTGACATCACGGTCGCCGTCAACGTGGTCATCGGCAGACACCGCCATCGCCATCCTGGAGGCCTCCTGGATGGGGTCCGAGGGTCTCGCCGTATCGCCGATACATCGACGATGCGTCGCTGATGCATAGGGGCGACGTCAGCGATGCATCGGCGACGTTGGCGTGGAGAAAACCGAGCCCCACATCGAGCCGCATCGCCGATGCATCGCCGATGTATCGGCGATGCGGCGCGATCCTCCGACCCTCCGACCCCATCTAGGAGGCCTAGACATCCACACCAGAAGACACCGAGGGCGATTCTTACAGCGCGGAGGGTAAGCCTGCCAGCGAAGCCCGCGTTTGCCGAGAGGCGGGGGCACGCTGACGAGAGGACGAGCACAAAGAACCCTCAATCGGAGACCACGAGAACACCTCCTGGGAACGTCGGCCGCGCCAGCGTCAAGGCAAGCGACCGGAGAGCCTCCCGCAGGCACCAACCCCCTTGGCGCAAGGAGGGCCACAGAGGCTATACCGGTCCTGGACCACATCGTGCAGGCTGCTGCTGGGGTGGTCTGGTCAGGTCGGGCCTTGCGTGGCATGACGCGGCCTGCTCGGGACGAAGGAAGGGACGCAAGAGGAAGAGGAATGGAGGAAGTGGGAGTGAGAAAGTCACACCATGAAGTAAGCAAAGTGGAACCCTCCTCGTGTTACTCGGGGCTGTTTGGGGACTCACTCGGGGACGTCTGGGGGGCATCCTGGATGCCTCAAATTCCCTCGTCTCCCTCCTCCTACATGTCCCGCTCCCTCTCTTTTCTATTCGTACACCTGGTCCTCCTCCTCCGTGCCCTCATCCACCCTCTCCACGCCCCCTCCTCCGCCTCCGTCGCCTGGTCATTACATGCCTCTTCCTCATCCTCCCCCATGCATCCTTCTTTGCTTTTCGTATCCCGCCAGCCACATGCGGATTTATACCAATCCACGATGCGTGCACAGGCCTATCGCAGGCCTGTGCGAAGCCGCCTGCGCATAGGCCTATCGAGAGGCATAGGATAGGCCTGTCGACAGGCTACGCATAGCCCTGTCGTGGGCCTATCGACAGGCTGTGCATAGGCCTATGACAGGCCTATCGACAGGTTGTGCACAATCCACCATAGGCCTTTATCTATAGGCCTATTTACAGGGTGTGTACCGGTCTCTACTCTGCCTGAGCACAACGCGCGAATATACTCAAACACGCGGCGACAGACCTATGCACAGCCTATGCACAGACCTATCACAGGCCTATGGGCAGGCTGCGCATAGGCCTTTGCTAGGCCTATGCGGAGCTTGTGTACACGCCTGTAGCAGGCCAAAATGTAGGGTGCGTGCAAGCCCGCGACAGGCCTATGCACAGGCCTGCAGTCGACCAATGGTAGCCCTGCAGTAGGCCCTTGTACAACCTACGCACAGTCCTGTAGAGGGTGCGACGTTCCCGCATGTATAGGCAACGCACAGGCCCGAACCCAAGGCCCGCGACAAGCCTATGCACAGACTGTGCATAGGCCTGTGGTGGACCTGGGCGCAGGCTGCGCACTGATCTGCAGGCTGTGAGCTCTCGGACAGCGTGGACCAGATCTTCCAGGCAGCCCCAGGACAAGTCCAATATGGCATCCCATAACCTCCTAGATATTCAAATGCGAGCCCAGAAGCGGAGAAAAGGAGGAAGGGAAGGATGGCAGGCATCCCAGAGCGGGCTGGAAGGGTCACCCTAGAACGGGGCGGATTTTAAGGTGACTCTCTGGGACTTGCGCACAGCTTGTTCACAGACCTGTGGCAGGCTTGTGCATAGCATGTGCACGCGGTCGTCGTTGCGCGTCGGCCGTCTCACGGGTCCACCACAGGCCCACCACAAGCCTGTCGACAGGCCTGTGCACAGGCTATGCACAGGCCTGTCGCGGGGCGTTGGCTCTCCCAGGCCCACCATCACAGGCCTGCGCACAGGCTGTCCACAGGGGCCTGTTACAGGCCTGTGAACACGCTACGAACAGGCGTGTCGCGGGGTGTTGCCTCACCATAAGCCCACAACAAGCCTGTCGACAGGCCTGTGGCAGGCCTGCGCACAAGCTATGCACAGGCCTGTCGCGGGGCGTTGGCCCTCTCCCAGGCTCGCCACAGGCCTGTGGACAGGCTGTTCACAGGCCTGTTACAGGCCTGTGCACAGGCTATGCACAGGCCTGTCGCACCCTGTGGGCCCTCTCACAGGCTCACCACGGGCCTGCGCACAGCCTGTCCACAGGCCTGTGACAAGCCTGTGCAAAGGCTATGCACAGGCCTGTCGCGGGGTGTCGGCCCTCTCCCAAGCTCCCCCCTCTGTCGCGGGTTCCTGCCCTCGCACAGGCCCACCACAGGCCAGTGTACAGCCTAGCCTGTCCACAGACCTGGAACAGGCCTGTGTACAGACTATGCACCGGCCTGTCGAGAGGTGTCGGTCCTCGCACAGGCCCACCGTAGGCCTGTGTACAGCCTGTCCAGAGGCCTGGAACACGCCTGTGCACCGACCATGCACATGCCTGTCGCGAGGTGTCGGCCCTCGCACAGGCCCACCACAGGCCTGCCCACAGGCTTGTGGTAGGCCTGTGCACAGGCTGTGCACAGGCCTGTCGCAAGGCGTTGGCCTTCTTCCAGGCCCACCACAGGCCTGAGCACAGGCTGTCCACAGTCCTGGTAGGCGTGTGCACAGGCTGTGCACAGGCCTGTCGCGGGGTATAGGCCCTCGCACATGCCCACAACAGGCCTGTGCACAGCCTGTGCACAGACCTGTGACAGGCCTGTGCACAGGCTATGCAAAGGCCTGTCCCGGAGTGTCGGCCATCTCCCAAGCGCATCACATGCTTCTGCACAGCCTGCTCACAGGCCTGTCACAGGCGTATGCATAGGGTGTGCACAGGCCTAAGCAAAGGCCTATGCACAGGCTGTGCAAAGGCCTATGTTTCGTGAGCACACAGGCCCCGAGGCAGCCTATCGATAGGACTATCGACAAGCCTATGGGTAGACTGTGCATAGGCCTGTCGATTGGCCTATCGACAGGCCTATGGGCAGGCTGTGCATAGGCCTGTCGCAGGCCTGTGGACAGACTGTGCACAGGCCTATGGTACCCTGTGCACAGTCTGTGCAAAGGCCCTACGACGGAGGCTTCCACAGGCCTGTATACACCCTCCTCACTGGCCTACGATAGGCTTGTGCACGTCCTATGCAGAGGCCTGTTACAGACCTACACATAGCCTGTGCACAGACCCACAGGCGACCTATCGTAGGCTATGCATAGACTATCTTCAGGAATGTTGATTGCAAGCGCAGGAAACGAAATCCTTCTTCTTTCTGCTCCTCGCAGCAAAGAGCTTCACAGTTCGTCGTGGAATCCTTTTCGCCAAAAAGGGGGACAACGAGGTCAACGAGGCAGTCTCCAATCTGCCCCCACAAGGCCCTAACCGGTACCACGAGCGTCCTCCCAGCTACAATAAAGAGGTGCGGTATTGTCCACTGGATGGACTGGGCAGGGCAAGGGGGGGTGGACCCGTCGAAGCCACGCGCCCCACACACCCTATGCGCCTAGGCGGCATGCTTCTCAGAATGCTTTCCTGGGATGCACAAAGACGTACTAGTACTATAAGTCATCCTTGGACGCGCGCGTCCGACCCGAACATATAGTATACCCATCTTGTAGTATATCGTTTCCCGAGCGGCGTGGCCAGAAAACGCCCGCCACGACGCATATACTATAAGATTTCTCGGTGCGCGCGTCGCCCCTGGGGGGGCGACGAACACATAGTATAAGTATGTTGGGGGGATGCCGATTTCCCCCTGGTCCTGCACCCCCATGTGCGCCGCATGGTATCGCTCAGGGCACAAGCACGCGAAGGACCACAGCTGTAGAGCGCCCACAAGCCACGCACGCGCACAGCCACATACACGAGCACGGACCCCCCAGTCCGCGAGGTCAGCCTCGCGCGACGAACGCTCGCGCCATGAACATCCTCGAAAGCCCACGAACTTCGTGTTCGCGTACGTTCGCGTCCGTTCCTGAATCGGGTACGGGTCACCCCCGAGATCGGAGGGCCAGCACGTCTGGACGAGGCACTGGGCGCCGCGGCCATTGCAGCAACTATGCCGAGCGCTCTTGAACGATTGCGCGTCCACGTCCCGAGAGTGTCAGACCTGCCCCATCGAAGTGCGACGCCGAAGCCGGCTCCTCCGCAGACCCCCGACATTCGGGTCGGGCGAAAGGGGGGGATAGCAAAGGGGGGGTTTGAGAATCAGCTCACGCAGCTGATTTTCCCGGCGCCTCCCGGCGCCGGAGGCGCCCATGTAGCGAGGAATGGGCCCCTCGGTGAGGCCAAAATCAGCTGCATGCAGCAAATTTCGTAACCCCCCCTTTCCCAACCCCCCCCTTTCGCCCGACCCGAGACATACAGCTTGATTGACGGCATTGGCCCCCCAGCCCAGAACTCTCGACCCCCCCCCCCCGGGCCCCAAAAACAAGCACTGGGAGGCCGCCATCGCCACAAAGCACTTGCCGTGATATGAACTGGCGCCGGACGCCGAAACGAAGGGTCGGACGCTCAACTGTCGCTCACACTCGCTCGCCAGACACTCCCGGAGGCGTCCACGCCAGTGTCTCGAGCTGCGTCCAGCCCTGGCCTGCGAGAAGCACCGTCGAAGTGCCCATCCAGAAGCAAGAATACAGTAGAGACCTGCTCCCCCGGTGTCGCGGACGGCCTTCGACTGGGGCACGCCAGACATACACCAACACCGATCCTGGTCAGGCCTACCTATTTTGGGCAAAGCGTGAAGCGCTGTTGCGTGCACTTGCTTCAGATGCTGCTGATTGTAATCGTTTGCGGCTGCTTGATACTGCTTTGTCGGTGTTTGCGTCGGCTCTTCGCCTATCTATTCTTCGCGTCGGCTCGTACATCCCCTCATCCTCGCTCCTCCTTGCTCCCCGGCGGGCCCCTTTAACTCGCTCCTCACGCGCCTCCTCACTGCCGTTCCTCCTCCTCCTCCTCCTCCTCCTCCTTCTCCGTGCTCCTCTCCAGTCATAGTGGCTCTCGGTTCTCGCTCCTCCATTTCCATCTTCTTATTGTTGTCTGTCTTCTCACCCTGGTAGCCGCGCTCCTCCTGCCTGACGCAATCACTTTCTCCCACTTGTCCTCGTCGGCCCTCTTCGTCCTCTTCATCCGCATCGCTCCAGTCGTCGATTCGTTCTCCTCCTCGCTCCTTGCTCCTCAGAATCCTGGCTCCAATTTGCGCTCCTCGCTCTGACGTTCGCGCCTTCTCCTCCTCCTCGCTCCTCCTTGCTCCTCCTTGTTCGTCATCGCTCCTGCTCGTTCCCCCTCCTCCACAATCTTCCTTCTCACTCCCACTTCTACTCCTGGCTCCCCTGCCTCATTCATCTCCTCTTTCGCCTCTTCTTACTCTTTATCGCTCCTCTCCCTCTCTTCCTCCTCGTCTTTCTCCTCCTCCTCCTTCGAGCATCCTCTCTACTGCCATCCTGCTGACGTCCATTCCTACTCCGCCTCCTGACTCTTATGTACAGGTTTGTCGCATATCCTCCCTCATCCTTCTTCTCCTCCTCCTCTCCATCCTCCTCCTCCTCCTCCTCCTCCTCCTCCTCCTCCCCTTCCTCCTCTCTTGGTGTATCTTGTAGTCCCGTCGGAGGCCACTTCATTACGGCTCTTGCGTGGGCCTCTCGGGAACCCTTCTTGACGCCCGAGATGCCCAGCTGACAGCAGCAACCCATGCCACATCTCCATGCTCGAGGATGCCTCGCGCGAAACGGCCGTCCTGAATGTGCTCAGCGCCACCCCACGAAACGAGAACCGCTCCGCGCTTCCCGTCCGGCACGGCGACCCGATTTCCCGTCGGGCCCGAAGGGGCATCGCTCCGCGCTTCCCGCCGTCCTGGGCACGAGGCCGCCCACGCCCCGACCCTGCCCCCCTCCTAACCAGAACAACACAGCATCCGCGCCTGCTCCCGGGGTGCAGCTTAGCATCGCTGATGAATCTTGGGCTTGCACCAGTCCTCCTCTTCCTCCTCGTCCTCCTCCCCCTCCGCCTATTCCTCCCCCTCCTCCTCCACCCCCTCCTCCTCCCTCCTCCTCCTCCTCCTCCTCCTCCTCCTCCTCCTCCTCCTCCTCCTCCTCCTCCTGCTCCTCCTCCTCCTCCTCCTCCTCCTCCTCCTCCTCCTCCTCCTCCTCCTCTCTCCTCCTCCTCCTCCTCCTCCTCCTCCTCCTCCTCCCCCTCCCCCTCCCCCTCCCCCTCCTCCTCCTCCTCCTCCTCCTCCTCCTCCTCCTCCTCCTCCTCCTCCTCCTCCTCCTCCTCCTCCTCCTCCTCCGCCTCCGCCTCCTCCGCCTCGCCTCCGCCTCCTCCCCTCCTCCTCCTCCTCCTCCTCCTCCTCCTCCTCCTCCTCCTCCTCCTCCTCCTCCTCCTCCTCCCCCTCCCCCTCCCCCTCCCCCTCCCCCTCCTCCTCCTCCTCCTCCCTCCTCCCTCCTCCCTCCTCTCCTCCTCCTCCTCCTCCTCCTCCTCCTCCTCCTCCTCCTCCTCCTCCTCCTCCTCCTCCTCCTCCTCCTCCTCCTCCCTCCTCCTCCTCCTCCTCCTCCTCCTCCTCCTCCTCCTCCTCCTCCTCCCCTCCCCCTCCCCCTCCTCCTCCTCCTCCTCCCCTCCTCCTCCTCCTCCTCCTCCTCCTCCTCCTCCTCCTCCTCCTCCTCCTCCTCCTCCTCCTCCTCCTCCTCCTCCTCCTCCTCCTGCTCCTCCCCCTCCCCCTCCTCCCCCTCCTCCCCCTCCGCCGCCCCGGAGAAGAAGCGCGCCTCCCCAAGCCAAGCCGCGCTGCGCGGAGCGCGACTACCTTCGCGCCCCCGGGGGGGGGTTCCCATAGAGGTGCTCGGCGCCGGTGCACGCCTGCCGCCCCTCCCACGCGAGGCCCCCGCGGCCGAGAGCGCCCCCTCAGCAGGGCCTCCTGGCCGCCGTCCCAGCGCTCCTCCCGCCACCCCTCGCGCCAGGCCGGCCACTCGCTCCGGCTCCACTCGCGCCCGCCTCGCAAGGAGCGGGCGCCGGCGCGGGGCTGGCAAGCGGGCAGCGCGAGCGCGACGACCACGACGACCACGACGGCGACGCGGGCGAGGGCGGCGAGGCCGGCAGGCGAGCAGCGCCTGCCGCGAAGGGGGGCGGGGCGCGAGGCGAGGGGTTGCCTCTCGAAGGAGGTCCGACTTACCTCCTGGGAAGCCTCACGGATCAGACGTAGGTCGGGCATGTCCTCCTACAGGCGGATTTGGGTCGAATAATGTTGAATACGTAAACAAGAGATTCAAACATAGTTAAACAAAAAAGAATTGAAAAATCATCCCCTGACAATTTTCTGACTATTTCTGAAAATTCCTCCTGTAGAGGAACACGCTCGACTTGTAAGAGACCAGACTCCTGGCGACTCTGATGTGTGCAGTCTTGGCCTCCAGTGGCCGTGCTCCAGGTCCAGGACCACGGGCTGCGGCATGTAGGGCCAGTGCTGTCGCCACTGTGTAAACACGTAAGGCGGGCCACCGAAGAATTCTCTCGGACAATCTTTGGCTTCACCGGGAAAGTGTGACGTCGTGACGACTGTCGTGCTTGATTTGTCCTGAGTTGCGCGTGCCACTCCGCCCCATCATGCCGTAGGACATATCGGAAGACCCTAGCGAACTTTCAACCATGCAAGTACAGGCTCTGCGGTGCAAACACGTGGTACATGCCATGTGGTGCAAATTCTGCGGCGCAACCGATGTGGTGCAATATGCCTGGTGCAATGTACGTGTTGCAAGCTATATGGTGAGAGATAACTGGTCTTGGCTTTGTGGTGCACGCTATGTGGTGCAAGCTAGGAGGTGCAGGCTATGCAATGCAAGCTATGTGGTGAAAGCTCTGCTGTACAACCTTCGTGGTGCAGTATACCTGGTTTGATCCACGTGGTGCAAGCTGCGTGGTGTGAGCCTATGCGGTGTAAACTACTTGGTGCGGCGACGGACCGGCCATGGGCCGCGGGGCCCGCCGACGGGCTTTCGATTGGGACAGGGGCGGCGGCGGACGAACACGGAGACGCCAGGCCCGCAGAAGGGCCCAGATCTCACAAGGACCATGGCAACGCCTGAGCGCAAGCGCTGATCGGGCAATTTGAATTCGTTTTTACGTGTGTACCACCCTTGCGCGCGCACTGCGTGCATTCCTCGTGCCTGCTATTCTGTCCCGGCGTGTCATGTATGTAGGTGTTCCGTGGTCTTCCATTGGACACCAAATTGGCGCTGTCGTCGTCAATCGACAGGCGCGGTGCCGGGGCAAGGGCCAAAACGACTGGCAGGGCGTCGGGCTGGCAGTGAGCAGGGCTGAGAGGAGCGGGTGGCGCAAGGCCAGCAAATGCACAGGGCAAGCATGGTAAGACGAAACCAAAAACGAGTACAACATCGGGCGCAGATAAATCGGAAAATTATGAGATCTGGCAGGTCGGGAGGGTGTTTCGGTCGCCGCGGTCTTCTTAAAACGTTCCCGAACGCGGTGGGAGCGCGCAACAAGGCTCTGTAACGGATCCATCCTCGCCATAACCCCGTCCGAATAGGGTGGGCATGGCCCCATTCGGGCCAACCTACCTCCCTGGAACGCCAGGGGCGCCGATCAGCAGAGGCGATGTGGAGGCGCGAGGGCATGGAGGATGGCACCCACCTTCCAGAATCAACGCTCAACTCACGAATCAGGAGGGGGGGGGGCGTGGGCCACCGCCACCGACTGCCGACCTCCGAGCGGTGGCACGCCCGAGCGTCACCATTCACAGGACGACCCTTCAGCTAGCCACAGCCCAGGTGTCGTTCCACCCCCGGCGGGTGCTCGGTGGCGCTAGTCCACGTGTTTTGGAAACGGAGAATTAACAGTGTTACCTTGAAGGATCTATTTGCTAAATGAAGCAACCCTTTCGGTTAAGTGCTGTTGCTCTGTTGCGGACACCCGCGTCCGAATTGCAAAGCCACGTCCTGCGCTCGCGCCCTGAATCTCCTGTCGAAGAGCAACTACAACTCCTTGAAAATATACCCAAAGGGTCGCATCGACCCGATGTAACGCGACCCCTGGTGACTCGAATAAACGCATCGCGGCGTGAACTGGCAAGGAAAACGAAAAAAACGCCCCCCCAGCGGGCCCTGGCCCCGCATCCTCAGGGTTCTACCAAGGCGCGCCGTGGACTTTACTAGAGCGAAGAAGCGGCTTTACTAAAGCGAGGAAGCGGCTTTAGTAAAAGTGCGCCGCTCAATACATTCAACAAAAAGCAATGTTTTACTGAAGCAATAAAATGAACGATAATACAGCAGAGACACGGCTGGGGTTAAACTGCGCACAGAAATTTCGCTCCTCCAATAAAATATGGCGTGGGACTCAAAGAGAAGGGGCGGGGCGCAAGTTCGCCCGTGGGCCCGCGCCCTGTCGCCGCCGTCGCCGCGATGTTCGTTTTCGCCGCCGTCGTCGTTGCCGCCTTCGTCACCGTCGGCGCAGACGCCGCCGTCGTCGTCGCCGTCGCCGTCGTCGTCGCCGCGACGCCCCGCGCATTCACGTTATTACCCGCGGCAAGTCGCGCGCGACCACGCGCGCCATTGCGCTCGCATGTCCGTTCCTCCGACGGGGGCCCAGACGGACATCGAGTTTTTTCTTCCACCCACAAAGTAACAGTGGGAAACTCACGCCTCTGACTGTCCCCTTTGAACGACGGGACACGCTCACTTTCCCAGGAAGCTTGGCTCCTTGCACCCGCGCGGTCTCGTCGCATCCGCAGTTCCGCCGTTCTTCCCCTGAGAGCTGCGGTGCTTGCATTTCAGGGGCTGGTGTGCCACCCTGGCCGGATTGAGGCCGCCCCGTTCCCGCCCCGTCGCCGCCCGTCTTCTCTCGTGGCCGACGGCCGTGTTTGAGTAAGGACCGAGTGCCCCGGCATTCCTATGGGCTTGCCACAACAGGTTCTTCGAACCCACGAATGTTCAAATGATAAAAATAATGTTTGTAGAACGTCAAACCCGATGCACCAAAACAAAACAGACTCTGACTGAAATGTTCAAAAAAAATCGCGCAAACCACAACACTTTCTTATAACACTTTTTGGTGGGCCTATAGGCGAGCCAATACGCTTCGCCATTGCTTGCATCGAATGGGCTGGTGTGCCGCCCTGGCCGGCTTGAGGCGCCCCCGCGCCGCCCCGTCTTTGGTCGACCAGAAATGGGCGTCCAGCTGAAAAGGGGTGGTGCCATGGACTTGGGCCAATCGCGTTGCAAATGTACTGCGCTGGAATATTGTATTGCATCGTATTGCAAGCGATGCTGTACGCGAGAAACAAACACTACGCGTGCTCCCCCGAGTGTGTTGCACGCCCCCATGCAGTTGCAACCCCACAAATCGATCGCACCGACTCTATTGCACCACCCCCCTGTCGCTGGACCCCCTGGTTGGTCCACCCGACCGTCGCCGCCCCGTCGCCGCCCGTCGCTGGCTCCCGCCTGGGCCCGTGTGCCTGTCCGGCTGGCTCGTGGCCGCCTGCCGTCGCCGCCCGTCTGCGGCCCGCGCGGCGGTCTGGGCGGCTCGTGGCCGCCCGTCGCCACCCGTCGCCGCCGCGCGTGGGCGATCCCGGTGCGAGCCTCGCAGACTCTCCCTTGCGAGCATCGTGCGTTCTCGGACCTCTCTACCCCGTCCATCCAGGTTCGGCACGCCCCCTCGGGAGAGATACGATGTGCACACGATTCCGCCCCGTCTGGCCAGTATGAACTCGTACCGTTCCAGGTAGCCCGTTGCAGCTTGCACCCGCCACCCCTGTCAAGTAACACTGTGGGAGCGCAGTCGTTCACAACAAACCGTCACTGATCAAGAACTGTACGTCCGAAGGCGCTGGCGCGCTTTTGGGACCAAGGAGGGCGCCATCCCACTCGAATGTTAGCCAGCGCGGGCGCCAAACATTGCGTTTCTAACCATGCGCGGTGTGCGAACTATCCCGTGCCATCGACGTGGTGCTACCTAGGTGATACAACCGATGTTGCGCAATATTTGTGGGGCAATCTGTGCGGTGGAATGGCCGTGATGTAATCTGCACGCTGCAAGTTACGTGGTGCACCCTGTGCGGTGTAATTCGCCGTGCCGAAGTTGAGATTGTCCACGCCGCTGCTCGCGCAATCGCCCCACCCACCCACACGCAACTTGGTTTGCAAAACCCAAGCGGCGGCGATTGCGATGATTGCTCGGCGCTGACTGGCGCGTCGCCGCGGCCGCGCTAGCGCGCAGGCTCGCGCAGAAAGCGGCAATGTAGTCCGACGTGGCCGACGCGGCCGCGGTGGCATTGACCGCTGGGAACTGCCCAGCACGTCTCGCAGGCCTCGCTGACGCGCGAACACGCCGATGCGAGTCAGTGACTCGGGCGGGCGCGGCATCATAGCGGCGTCGACAACGGAAGACACGACGATGATGGTAGTAGCAATGCCCGCGACGATGATCACAACGACGACGGCAAACACAATGTCGGCGACGATGCTGAGTAAACCAGTGACGCAAATGGTACCGTCGCGTCGGCGATGGGGACTGCGATAAGGATTTCAACATGCGCGCACGGCCGGCGCGCGAGAGCGGCCGGTGTAATGTGTTTTGATCGGGATCGTGCCCCCCCTCGCGCGAGCGCAAGGGCGTTCCATGATTTCGACACGCGCGAGCGGGAGGCCAGCGTGGGATCATATGGTAAACACGTCGAGCAACCTATGGTTCTCTCAAGACTTCGCAAGAAAGCGAGCAAAGGCTCCAATCAAACAGTGCGGCGAATATGGAAATTTACACGTGTGTTCGGGACATTCGCTGCGCGGCGGGAGGTCGTGAAACCCTTGCGCGGCGGGAGGTCGTTGAAGGATGTCGGGTTGCTTGCGCGACGACGCGCGCGCGCTCTGCGTCTCATTGTTTGCGAAGGGCATCTGCGACAGAACGCGCACAGGAGCGTTCGGACGATTTCGACATGCGCGCGCGAGAGGCACGTTTTGGTGACATATGGGCCACGTGGGGAA